TTTAATTAGCGTTGCGGTACCTGGAATGGGTAAATTACTCAAAATACATTACTTCAGAAGTGTATTTGGTTGGCCGAGTGGTCGCAAGTGCGACTGCCGGACAAGGGGTCTCGGGTTCGATTCCCGGGTCGGGCAAATATTCCTGTTTTTTTTTAAAAAAAATGACAGTAATAGCACGGAGTCTGGAATTGTGCTCGATATATAGCAATTGACTTATTACATGGGACTCATAAATAGTGAAAACTGGGTGTTACATTGTACAGTGGCATAATGTGCACCTCTGCCTATCCCTTCGGGGATAAAAGGCGTGATGTTATGTACGTTAACGTATTTGGAGAAAACTTTAGAAATTTGCATCGAGTTAAATTAACTTATAATACTTAATTGTAGGAAACTTATTTGAATTAAATTGAATGTGTACATCTGCCTGATGAACAAACGTAATAAGTTCAAGAATTCAAATGCTCAAATTAATTGTATTATTACGTCAGTAATAGGTCTCAATTTCCGACGTCATATTACACTTAGCAACACTATACTTAGTTACATATAATCTTTTTTCCTTATAAGGATAATTTAATTAAGGTCTGTTATCGTTATACTTATATCAATTTATTATTAAATTAATACATTTTGTGACGAAATTGATACACGTATTACATCCATATGCAATGCGAAGACGACAAAATGGTACTGATTTCAAATTTGTTTGTCTAAAGTATTTTTTCCTAGTTGCATGTCACTTTATCCTCTACAATGTGTCGCGGAGAACCTAACGGGTAACCGGGGCTCCGGCTCGACGTGCAGGAGAAGGAACGCGGTGGTTTTTAGTCAGTAAGAGTCTGACACTCCCTCCCGCCTCATCCAGGCGGGAGCAGTCATTCGATGATTTTCCCCCGTTAAAAAAAAAATCCTCTACAATGTGCTGCATTCCTATCGTCCTGCAACTTTCGGTTTTAAATAAATTTTTAATTAAAGACCGATTTTTCAATAAGCAGATAATTTTTATTGACGTTAAACATTTTTACATAACTTATATCTCACCTTTTATCCCCATTTATCCCCAGGCGGGTAGGCAAGAGGTACACATTGCGTCACTTAATGCCACTGTACAATATAACACCCACTTTTCACTACTTATGTTATGAGTACCTGGCACAATTCCAGACTCTGTGCTATTAATATTTAAAAAAAACCTAGTATTACTTTGTCCGACTTGGGAATCGAACCCGAGACTCCTTCCCCGGCAGTCGCACTTGCGACCACTCGGTCACCGAGGCATTGACATGTTTTTGCATGAAAGAATTGTAAAAATGTTAATAATTATTGATCCGATAAAATCTTCTGGCGGCCCTAAATGGCATGATCTTGTATTCAGTTAGTACCTATAGATATATTTTTTTTTAAGGGGGGAAAATCATCGAATGTCTGCTCCCGCCTGGGTGAGGCGGAAGGGAGTGTCAGACTCTTAATGACTAAAAACCACCCCGTTCCTTCTCCTGCACGTCGAGCCGGAGCCCCGGTTACCCGTTAGGTTCTCCGCGACTCCGAATCGGCATCGGCCCTATTGGGCCCCATCTGTACCTATAGATATAATAAAATGATAAAGTGGACAGTTTTCATGTTGATGGTTCCATGCAGTCACCGCTTCCAACTAGCCCATCTGAAAGTCTGTGCTTAGGTGATGACATCTTTTAACTGGTAAGTTACTGATGGTGGTCCAGCACGGACGGCCAGATGTATTAAAATTTACTAGATTTCCTTAATGACCCAATAAGGAGGTTTCTGGTTCGAGTCGAGCAAAACATTATTATATAAACATTCTTAGTAGAATTAGAGTTCTACCTCTCGCATACTCATCACCCATTGTGTAAACCGCGGTTCCATATTTAAAACTTAACCACACAATTATTTATGAACTAATTGTTTAGTAAGTTCAGTTTAGGTTATAATTGTTAGTTTAGGTTGTAATTGTTATGTCATAGAACCTACTAAAATACTCTGTGAGAATCATAACAGGTAATTAAGTAAAAAAATTGACGACGTGTCTAGATTAATAAAGAAAATAGTTAGGTTGTCCGACAATGTTTCCCGTATAAACGATGAATGGGTAACTCGCCGCCCGACCAGAACCAAGCCCGAGCGAAGGGCGCGTCGCGTTCCGCGCGCGCGTCAATGAGCCATCAGACCACCACAGATGACGCCCAACGGGGCTGATGCCGATACGGAGCCGCGGAAGACTTAACGGGTTACCGGGGCTCCAGCTCGAAGTACAGGAGTAGGAACGGGGTGGTTTTTAATCAGTAAGAGTCTGACACTCCCTCTTGCCTCACCCGGGTGATTCTCCTGACTCCTGACTGACTCAGGAGAAGGCATTGGACGATTTTCCCCCTCAGAAAAAAGTATCATAAATTGTAGGTTTTTTTAAAGTGCGTGAAAGATGACCGCTTGTTCTATTAGTTGCCCCTCTTTATCACTGGTTTATGACTACAAACCTTGTAAGGTTTACAGTACCTTGGGTCTGTAGTCAACTGAAGGCAAAAAGATCCTACTTCAAAATTTAGTTTCTAGAATACAATCACACAAACTTGCAGAAAGCAAACATGCAACCACAGCCTGAGTCCATAAGAGACTTAGGTATGATGACTCCGTTAAATATGTACTCACTTAAAAATTCCCTTACCTACTTGTCCCTTATGACACCCAACACGGGCGGACTAGGGGTGGTAACAATAGTTTAGGAACTATGCCGTCACTACACGGTATGATATATATACATACATATTATAATAAAAATCGCATAGGAAAGTCAAAACTGTAAATTGTATATGTATATTTTTCATAAAAGTACCTAGTTGGAGCGTGATCTACTCGATAGTATATCGATATATGGAAGCCAAAAATATAGTTTATACAATTTTTGTCTGTTTATCTGTATGTATGTTCGGGCTACACTAATAAAGTACTGCATGGATTTTCTACATATTATCACATCACGGAGATGCAAATCTTTAATACATACGGACGAAGTCGCGGGCACAGGTAGTACATAATATGTACAATTGAAAGTCAAATAAAAACTTGAATAATAGCAACCTAACTTGAACCAGCTGGAATATTTTGTATCATTTCGAATAATCCAAGTTTTACGAGTTTTGCGATTAAACATCAAGTATTTTATTACTCCATTAGACTTGTTTGTTTTATTTCTGCATTCCTGCATCGATATACCTAGAGATTATGAGCAAATTATTATGTATCAGAATAGCCTAGCAGGTTTCGAGTCTGAACTGGAAAAGTATAAAAAACATGGACAAACACATGTTTTTTTTGCTATAACAAAGCGGCAAGTCCACTTGGAAACATCTGAACAAAAGGAACGAACTACTCAAATTTTTCAAACTGTCAAATATCTTTTTGAAAGAAAAAAAACGTTACACATATGAGGATTTTCTCCTGTACCGTGGGTACGAACATACAAGTTCACAAACACACCACACCTATACCCGAAACAACTATTTGTAGATCACACAAAGAGTGGCTCCGTGCGGATATCTTGATAATATTTTTAAATACAAAACTCATACTTTTTAGTCAGTGTCGGTTCACAATTTAGTCCAAAATGTCAGTAACGATAATGATGATGCGCGTTGATGTCTTTCATCACAAAGCTTTGATGAATCGATTTAATCGTAATTTAAGATTATTATGTTCCATTTTAATGATAATTTAGTGCTTACTATGATAAAGCAAGTGTAAGTTAATTGTGAGATGAATACGTTTGCCCTGTACTATATGACAGTTATATATTAATTCCATAAAAAGTAGTTCAAAATGTTTTTTGTACTTTACCTTTACCGATTATAAAACACGCATAAACAAAACAAAAAAAAAACAATTTATGAGAATAGTAAAAAACTTAATATCTTTTTTATGGATCTCATATCTTATCTTATAAGATTTCTATTCTGTAAGTAAAAGAATAGCTTAATTATTAATACCTCTTTCCTCTACCTAGTGCATACATTTATGCAAAATTATCTAAGTAGGTACCTATTACGCAGTCAATCAAAATATACGTGGTCCCATCAAATATATAAAAAAAAATATCCCAAAATTGTTTGATCCAGCATAATTTCTAAACAAAAGCCTGGAGATGTTATAAATGTGATAGTTTCTTTGTCAGGATGTTTGTCCATCAACCACGCTGAAATTATTTTACGGATTTTGATAAAATTTGGCAAGCTGACTTAAGCAATAGGATACTATTCATCTGGATTAAATGCTCCCCTGGAAGAAAACAGGAAACATACGCGGACGAAGTCGTGGGCAACTGCTAGTAACTAAATAACAATGAAAAAAAAATATAAATGAAACATATTCCCATTGGGATCCACAAAGCTGTAATCAAGTTTACCTTACTTGAAGTACTATACGTTTCAGTCATATAAATATTGTGAACCAAATAAAACGTTGAAAATAACGTTCACATTTTATTATCCCATTTGATCCAAATCTAATTACATAAATTGATCCCACAAAAAGGTAGAGAAGAATGGAACCGCTCTATTGTGTCCTACATCATTAGATTAAAGGTTTTTCACTGTGAAAAAGGGTCAAAATGTTGAACAAGCCTATAATGCGCATTATAGTGTGTAACAAGCCGACGGGTGAGTCAGCAGTTTGCAGCCAATATCGGGGCCTATTAGACCACAAGCGTGCTCCGTCGCGCCGCGTTACACCGTGAAACAGACCACCAGGAATATCGCTTTTTAACAATTTTCTACCACTTTTTTCTTCTACCGCACACGAAGAACATTCACTCCCTGTTTTATATACACTTCCTTCAGTCTCATAAGACTGAACTAAGCTGAAGAGCTGTATATCTTCGACAATAAACGAAGGAATTCTTTCCATTATTTTGGTGTAATTTACCAAACCAAATGTTCATAAGTTTTTATGAAGAGTAAAATAAAACCAACTCATATAATGTATTCCATTTAATAATCCTACTCAAAAGTTATAACAATTTAAACAATATTTACAGAAATAATTCATCTACACTAATCAATCCACATTGAACAGGAAAAATATTCAGTTCTCATCACTAAATAAATAACAATCTTATTTCTAGGCTATCTATACAGCAATATACAAGTCACTACTAGTAATAAGTAGCTCTAATTTCTTCTGTTTCTAAACAAACACAGGATCTATATGAAATTATAGGACAACACACAGTTTGCATTGTCTCAACATTTTTAACAATTTCTACCGCAGCGACACACTCATTAGGTAATGTGTTACTGATCTATTACTCACCAATGCTTTAAAGACATTCGCCGATTTTTCATGTGCAATAATATAATACTTTTATCAATTACAATAACTAATCAGCAGTGAGGTACTAAACCTTAAAGTGAGATCGATTAAAATTCTATTATGACCCGAGTGACGTGTTTTAATCGTCTGCGGAATGTGTAGACATTAGGCCATTGATCGTTAGCCTCAACGTTATACGATTTACCATAATAAATAGTTACATATATTACTAAATGCGTTGTAAATGATCATGATTATCATTTTAATAGTAAGCGCTAAATGAATTCAAAATTGACACTCCAACTTAAAATTAAAATGTACCAATTTTTCTACAATTCAGCGCGCTTGTGTTCATAGTATTCTGAGATAAATTAACATTTTAAAACTACACAACATTTTAAAAATCTAAACACTTTACAAATAACTAGTTAGAAGTGTACTTACAATCTAACATTGCACGAAATATTGGGGCAGCTGGAATGCGTGCGCACAGGCTGATGTCACGCGACGGGCAGCGGCGGCGGCGGCGGCAGGTAGCAGGGGCGTAGCGCGTGCGCCGCCGCCAGCAGCTCGGCGTGGTAACGCTGCGCAGCCGCCACATAGGAAACCTCCAACCGGGGTATCGGCATCAGCACCGGATGAGGAGGCGACGGCGATAGCCGTGGTGAATCTGGCTCTAGCAATGCTTTGATTGTGAAATCTCTTCGTGGTCTTTCACGCGGTAACATTGTGATGGTTGCCGCTTCAGGTAGTTCTGCTGGCTCTGGGCTCAGCTGTGGACCCAGTGGTGGCGTGTACAGACTAGCACTTGGTATTGCTGGTGGAGGAGGCGGTGCACTCGCTTGTCTTGCTAAAAATGCTCTGTTAAAACTTGCTAGCGCCGCTAACTCTGCATTCAGATTATCTTTATCTCCTTTGAGCAGCTTGAACCTCTTGCGCCTCCTAAGCAGCGAGCCGTTCTCGAACATGTCGAAGGCCTGCGGGTGCAGCGTCCAGTAGGCGCCCTTGCCGGGCCGGTCCGGGCGGCGCGGCACCTTCACGAAGCAGTCGTTGAAGGAGAGGTTGTGCCGCAGCGAGTTCTGCCAGCGCTGCGTGTTGCGCCGGTAGTACGGGAAGCGGTCCGTGATGAACCGGTAGATCTCCGACAGCGGCAGCATGCGCTCCGGGGAGCTCCAGATCGCCATCGCCGTCAGGGAGATGTACGAGTACGGGGGCTTCTGGTCGCCGTACGATTCACGCGAGGGTCGCGGCATTGTCACGGCCCGATAGATCCCAGGAGAACAAGTCAATACCAATAAAGTCAAAAGTAACAACAACACACGGATGTAGGAACACGTCAGTCCGATGCGAGGTGTGGAGAGGAACTGAGTACTGAGGCGCGGCGAGCGCTCGGTCCGGCCCGCCCGCCCGCTGTCGGCCGGATGTAGCGGCTGAGAAACTAGCACGCGATTGGTGCTCACGTCATCCAATGGGGTCCCTCCACTTTCAGGTATGATGTCGGCTTTCGCTGCACTAACAAGGAATTTAAATTGATATTATGTTTATATTGCCTCCAAAATCTTTTGTGATGACACCGCTTTTTATTTAGCATATGTAAATTACGATGATACAGAAAAACAGATTTGAATTATATACAGATTTAATAATAATGAATGAGTGTTATTAAATTTTTGCATTATTTTTTTAAGCCTGATTATCTAGATAATATTTAGTAACATATACAAATGGTCCCGACAGATAGTTTACTGACTCTTAGTAGTCCTAGATATAAATATTTTGGAACAGGTGTCAACTAATGGTTTAGAATCTGGACGGAAACATTGACCTAGAAATTAGTATTTTAGTGAATCGGTGTGCCAGTTCGTAGCGGTTAACTTTTAGGCTTATCTGCAGCGCTAAATAATTAGGTAAAAGAGCTACGCAGGCTAGTTTATGGTCTGTTCATAAAACCAAACAGCTTAACGGCACTAACAAGCTAAATTTACGATTGTAATGTACCTACTTACCTAACAACAAATGCTAAAATTTCTCCAAGGCCGTGTAGAGTTTATTACTGCATATTTAACCAGGTCTTTGTAAGTGTTATTGAGCTTATTTTTTGTGAATACTTAATTCAATAGCTCCCTCATAATTCATACAAAGACGCCATGATTTTATGTACAATGTTATTTAACTCGTCGAGTACCGGTTTTGTAGACACAATTATAGAACAATAGGTTGCGGTCACCGGTGACCGCTTGGTGTTTGACAGTTTAATATAAGTACTAAAACCTACCTACTCAAACAATATATACACGTGGTTAATAAGTTCTATCCTGCTAATCAAACACACATACTTAAACTATAAAGAGCGACCTATATAAGTTAAAATTAAAACCACTTAATTTATTTTGAAGCTCTGAACAACAATTTCCTTTACCTAAATAAACATATTAATGAAAACAAAATATTGCTCTGTACTTAGAATTATCTTGACTATATATGTACATACATACATACATATTAAATAGAATGACAAACAAGGAAGAAGTGGGGTACCTTCCATTGTGCCTTCCTAACTTCGTGAGAAGCTGACAAGACAATGTAAGTAGGTACTTACTATTGTAACATCCTAATGTAACAATATGTCTTTTTTTATGGAATAGGAGGCAAACGAGCAGACGTCATCTGATGGTAAGCGATCATCGCCGCCCGTGGACACCCGCAACACCAGAGGAGTCACAGGTGCGTTGCCGACCTTTTAAAAAGGAATACGCTCTTTTCTACCTGCCTACTGATGTGTACTTACTTACTGTATAACACGTCTGTTGTAGAGTTAAAGGGTTAAATTATTTTATCATTATGTACTACATGTATCAGTTTGTCTGTTCCTGTGTATTAGATACTAGGCTTGTTCACTGAACGGTATCTTCAGCTTAGTTATAATTAACTAATTAATTATGTATGAGGTTTATCTTCATAATAATAGTCAAGTAGCCAATGTTCGATTGAGTATGCATGTATCTTCATGTTCATCTCATACAAAAAAAAATCACTATAAGGAGCGATTTCCAACGCCAGATAAATTTTAAATGAGGAATAACTTTGAATATTTGACAATAGGGTAGACGACTAATTTTTATTTTAATGTCCGTCTGGTAGATTATTTAAAAACATTAGACACGTATTTTTTATTTTCTTACGGAAACGAATAGTTTCGAAGATATATTGATTTGAAATGTCGCGTGACGTCACTTCTCAGTACATTTTATACTAAGAAATGACGTTTTAGCCCCCACTCCTAAACTTTGATTCGTTTTATCTAAGTATTGTTTTATTATACAACAAAATAAAAAAATACGTGTCTAATATTTTTTTATTACCTAAGTTACGGACTAATTATATTTTTAATTTTCATACCCCGTCATCATCCCCATTGGGTTGATGACAGAGTATGAAAATTAAACTGTCAAACACCAAGCGGTCACCGGTGACCGCAACCTATTGTTCTATAATTGTGTCTATAATGACGGTACTCGACGAGTTAAAAACATAATTAGTCCGTAAGCTAGGTAAGGAAAAAATACTAGACACGTATTTTTTTATTTTGTCGTATAATAAAACAATACTTAGATAAAACGAATCAAAGTTTAGGAGTGGGGTTAAAACGTCATTTCTACGTATAAAATGTACATAAAAGTGACGTCACACGACATTTCAAATCAATATATCGTCAAAAGTATTCGTATCTGTAAGAAAATAAAAAATACGTGTCTAATATGTTTTTCTTACTCAACTTATTTAAAATAATCTACCAGACGGACTTTAAAATTAAAATTAGGCATTCATGCATTCTTCCATACTAAAAACTATCAAATATCAATGTTATTCCACAGTTATGAACAACCAAACTTACATTCACATTTCATTTAAATTAGAATTAAGAAATATATCTAATTAGTTTTATTAGATAATTTATACGATAACAGGAACACAGAATAACATTAACTTCAAATATTGACTTAACCTCGTTAGTTTTAAAGAACAGGATAGGAACCTTTCTCGCAGGATTACTAAAGTATTACTTATTAGCATAATCAGACTTATAACCGCCATAAAATACTGATTGAATATATAATTAGGCAAATAGATATTCTAATTGATTGCGTGGTCGGTGTTACTAAAAATATTAATATAACAGAAATTCACTAATCCAACGATTGGACATACTATTGACTTTTAGAAAGCAAAAACGTTAATGGACGCATTGCGCACGAAACAGTTTTTTTTTATTATCTTTTATTGTTACCGTTTCCTAAATCCGTGAATGGTTGAGAGGTGAACGATCTGCGACAAAAACATGGCGGGTGACATTCGTCTGTCAATAGGTAGATATTTACTATTTGTTCAGCTCAGCATCATGTTAGGTGAATACAACATCGAAATATAATTTTCATTCCTTGAATGATTTTTCTTCTTTAAAACTCTTCGGTGTAAGAAGCAAAATAAAATCTGTGTTTCACAAAATAAATCTTCTTAACCAATAATTTATTATCATTACATTTTTTTTTCTTCTAATTACAAATTATTTAAAAGGGTGACCGCAAACTTTATTAAAGTCGAGATTGCTATTTTAATACTAAAATAATTCAATAATTATTTCCTTAAAACACGTTAAGGTAATATTTTATAATTGTAATTAAAGTATCGATACGAATATCTCCGTCGTTTTCCCTCAACTCCGAGTGACTGTGACATGACACCCTGACCTGAAAAATAAATCTTGTCACTTAAATCTTAAGAGACGTTTTTGATTGTTACCGACGTATTATTAGTCGTTTTAATAATGTGTTTACGCGGTCATGCGAGTATCGTAGGTCCGAGGGTCTGGAATGGTGCAAATTCGTCACGGATGCTTATCGAGAAGGCAGTCGATAAAGGCGGCCTGTCGATATTTTATTATTACAGGGGCCCCCATGGTAATCACGAGCCCACGCTCTGTTTTCGATGAGAACTTGAGGGACTCATTAAAACTGTTCTTTGGTTCTTTTACAACACCAACGGTCTCAAAATGTGGGCTCTGTTTTGTTCGTTGCTTATTTATTGAGAAAAAACTGTCACACAATTCTCATAAACATAGATAAATAAATGATAATGCAAAATAAACATATATAAATAAAATAAATGTTGTATACCTACTGTAAGATAACGTACTTCTTTAAACTTTTCTATGCAACTGTACTTTACTGATATGTTTCACTGAATTCGAAGGATTGGTGACCTACGTTAGGGAAACCTGTAAATTTTTCCTCGAGGATAAATTGGGGTAATTACATATACCAAAGTAATTTTAAATTGTAATAAGTTAATATTAATTGACGTAAGTACATTATGTTTTTTTTGTATATAGATATTATAGTTTGAAAGAGAGCGTAGGTGTGATCTACAACGCAATTGTGAATAATACTGAATTTCTGAATAATGATCGTTTACGGACCGCGGCGCTACACGGCAAATATTTTAGTGGCAGGCGCTAGGCGGCCATCGAGCGCCTCTACAATTAATTCTAAGCAAGTCCGCAGCTACTCAAAAAAGCTCTCAGACTGCTTTCGTCATTACTTGCATATTTTTTGTTCCAAGTAGATCGAAAATTTTTTCGCGCGCCCTCGCGATTTTGCCACAGGGTGATTTATGATAAAAGTTATAAGCGGCATTTTTAATATCAACGAGCCTTTTAAACCTTAGCCCTTTGTAGATGCCGACGGGGAGATAACCTAATTAACAAACGTTATATATCATTGGGCAGCGAGCGCAAATATGAGATTTTATTTATTAACTGGCATCGGAAAAGTGGTAATGTATGCGGGGGTTGTGATGCTGGCTCGTATATTCATGGAGGTTTAATTGCTTCTTATCTTACATCTGCACATCGGCGAGATCACAACTTGTATGTATAACCGGCCGGTCCGTCTGTCCGCCTCCAGCCGCGCGGGGCCCGCTCTCCGCCGGATACTCCCCCTGGCACCGCTCGCGGTCTTATGTCTCACACCTTAAAACTACATAAATCACATGAATAATGTTTCGGATCTAATGTCATTAAATATAAATAAAGTTGATACTGAGTCACGGGTAGCGCGTGCAATTGCGAAATGGTTATAATCCAATTGAAAGATCTAAAAACATAATCTCAACGTTTACATTTGCATAAAATTGTTCTATTATATTACTTAATATTAATAAACATAAGTATCTAAAATCCTTAATATTAAGTAGATACATATGTAGGTACAAAGAAACAATGAAAAGAGAACATGAAATATGAAACATCTTACGTAACAACTCGGAATATGTAAGCTCAACCATACC